AGTAGGCTAAGATGCTGCAGGAAAATAAAAAGCTGTGTGTGTGTGTGTGTGTGTGTGTGTGTGTGTGTGTGTGTGTGTGTNGTGTGTGTGTGTGTGTGTGTGTGTGTGTGTGTGTGTGTGTGTGTGTGTTTTGCTAAAACATGAAACTTTATGAGATGAGCTAAATTTCAGCACCATGGTCAGCACCCCACATCACACAAACACAGCACAGTTTTTAACTTTTAGCATTAAAAGTTTTTAAAAAAATCTACACCAGAATCAGAGAGCACTTTTACCTCCTCGTGTGATTGCTTGAACCAGCAGGAGGTTGTCGAGGTAAAATCTCCAAACACAATCCCTTTCATCTAACCGTATGATGACTGAAAACAGTGGTGCCTAGATGAATCAAGTGGGTGTGAATACCAATTAGGAGCATTTGTTGGCTGTTACAAAAACAGGTACAGCAATCAGTAAAATGAATACTGTAAAGACAAAACAATACTAATCCTGGTAACTGTTCAAATGAGATCTCAACTCCAAAAATGGTATTTACTGTGAAAATGCAGGATGAATGCTGAGAGCTGAATTACTTAAAAAACAGCTGAAGGAGTTGAAACTGTTGTTGTAACTCGTAGAGGCAGAAAACTATAAGGCAGAAACTCAAGGAAAATAAAATCGCTGCTAAAAGATAAAAAGAGCAAAGCTAGAAATGAATAAACCCCTAGCTAAAAGATGAAGCTAGAAAAAGCACTCATGAAAATTCTCAATCAACCAAGAGTTCCAAGCTTTTATGGTAAATGGACTGAACTTTGTCAAGTCCCTCCAGACCCCAAAGCACTTTACAATTACAGTCACCCCCCCATTCACACACTGATGATAGTAAGCTACATTGTAGCTACAGCTGCCCTGGGGCACACTGACAGAGGTGGGGCTGCCGTGCACTGGTGCCACCGGACCCACTGACCACCATCAAGTAGGCAAGGCGAGTAAAGTGTCTTGCCCAAGGACACAACAACTGAGACGGCTGGACGGGGGATCGAACCGGCGACCTTCCGGTTCCAGGATAACTCCCCTAACCACTCCAAGACAGCTGCCATTAAACTTATCATTTATTATTTTTATTATTATTATTTTATTAACCTTTTTAAACCAGGCAAATCCCATTAAGAGCACAGGTCACTATTGTAAGTGAGGCCTGGGGCCTGAAGGCAGCCTAATGTATGTTTTTGCATTAGACGCTCCATTGTGTAACCTGGATTCACATGTTAATCTCAGCCCCATCACAAAGGAGAATCATTAGGGTATTTGTTTTCCTGGCTCATAGAGAAATGTCTTCATCCTTTGCATTAATTAGAGTAAAAATTGTCGTGATTGTTGTCTTGGTCAGTCTTTTATGGTCCTTTACATGTCATTCTGTCTCAGTTTGTTTTGTTGTTTGGTATTCTTGTTTTATTTTCATATTTCCTGTCTAGTCTCCTTATGGAGCTGTATCATTTCCTCTGCTTTCTCCTCAGTTAGCTTCAGCCTGCCACTCACACCTGTCCATAGTCTGTAATCACCCATGTGCTTCCACTCTCCAATCATCCTCTGTTGCATTTGCAGTCCTCAGTCTTCATTGCCTGATTTCATGCTCCAAGTCTCGCTTGTTTTCATGGTTTTTCATGTTTCTCATTACTGTTATTTTTGTTATTCTTTTGCTGTCAGTCAGCTTTTCTTTCTGTTATTTAATAAAACAGTTTTAGGTTTTACCTTCAAGCCTTCATTTCTGCCTGCTTTGCAGGTTCAATCATACACCGACTCTGACAAAAAATGGTATCAGTCCTAATCTTCCCTTGTAAATTTTAGAGAGCTGAAACCTGACATGTTTCCCCATTTAATTTTCTCAATTGACATAAATTGCTTCTTATACCCCTCTCAAACTCTGTCCAAATTATGAACCTTTTGATCTTCAAAAGCAAGTCTCTTATGAAGTGTGGGTGGACAGCTGAGTCTTGTCGTAAAGAGCTGCTCTCCTGTGATGAACCGTGTATCTGTGGAGAACATTCCTCACTGCACTGAACTGCAGATGGTTCAGTTTGTATTTGGGAGGTTTTGTTCTTCGGATGGAGCAGACTCTGTCTCAGAATCCTATTGTTGTGTTTGGATAAAATCCTGAGTTTCTCAGATGCTCCACCCAACATGCGGGATGAAAACGTCCTGATGCATCTCAGTAATCCAGGTAAAAAATCAAAAAGAAAAAAATTGTATAGGTCTTCTGGACGGGTTCTTCTCTAATGAAACGTTTCGTCTCTCCTCCAAGAGACTTCTTCAGTCTGAGAGTTTCAGGCAAAATTCAGGCTTTTAAGCCCTGCCTCCATGTGACTGATACTCACATCACATGGCTATCGTTGACACCTAATTAACACTTATTGTTAACAGGGGGTGGAGTGATACTGGCAATGGCCGCGCTGTAGGAGGGGGACAACTGAAAACGGAGGCCTCCACCTCTGTTTAATGATGGACGGTCTTTCTTCACAAAAATGGCTTCTTTTACTCCTCTCTCAAACCAGTGTTCCTCTCTATCAAGAATGAGAACATCCTCATCTCTGAAAGAGTGACCGCTGGCCTGTAAATGAGTGAAAACTGCAGAGTTCTGGCCATTAGACGTAGCTCCTCTGTGTTGGGGGCACACTGGCGTATATCGTAAGCCCACCGACTCAGGCCAATATTTGCGTTTTGACTCCCACCACCCACTGGAACACAGGTTAGGAGTGATCAGGACTCTGTACCACAGAGCAGACAGTGTCCCTACAAACCCAGGAGCCAGGGAGAAAGAGAAATCACACACACGACAGGCCCTGGAGCAGTGTGGTTATCCTGACTAGGCTTTCCTGAAAGCAGACAGGAAACACAGACAGGATTCCATGCAACATTGCGGGTGTTTCGAAACACCCGCAACATACGGAATAACCACTGGTTTGGGTCTGGGTTTGGGGTCTTCATTTTTGCCTGAAGGTTGCATGGAATCCTGTCTGTTTCCCGTCTGCTTTCAGGAAAGCCCAGTCAGGATAACCACACTGCTCCAGGGCCTGTCGTGTGTGTGATTTCTCTTTCTGCCTGGCTCCTGGGTTTGTAGGGACACTGTCTGCTCTGTGGTACAGAGWCCTGATCACTCCTAACTTGTGTTCCAGTGGGTGGTGGGAGTCAAAACGCAAATATTGGTCGGTGTGGGTGGGCTTACGATATACGCCAGTGTGCCCCCAACACAGACGAGCTACGTCTAATGGCCAGAACTCTGCAGTTTTCACTCATTTACAGGCCAGCGGTCACTCTTTCAGAGATGAGGATGTTCTCATTCTTGATAGAGAGGAACGTTGGTTTGAGAGAGGAGTAAAAGAAGCCATTTTTGTGAAGAAAGACCGTCCATCATTAAACAGAGGTGGAGGCCTCCGTTTTCAGTTGTCCCCCTCCTACAGCGCGGCCATTGCCAGTATCACTCCACCCCCTGTTAACAATGTGTTGATTAGGTGTCAACGATAGCCATGTGATGTGAGTATCAGTCACATGGAGGCAGGGCTTAAAAGCCTGAATTTTGCCTGAAACTCTCAGACTGAAGAAGTCTCTTGGAGGAGAGACGAAACGTTTCATTAGAGAAGAACCCGTCCAGAGGACCTATACAATTTTTTTCTTTTTGGGATGAAAACCTTTCAGTCTTTGTTCTAATTTAACCCATAGCCAAAAGGTAAATGTAGCAAAATGCTAGTGGCAAAGTGAAAGCAATACACCACATAAATGCTAGCTAAAAGCTATATGTTTTGTAAGAAGACAGTATGCTGAAGTAATTTTCAAAGTGAATGTTTTTTTAAGTAATTATAAATCTCAATGAAAAGAACATTTTAGGAAAATGATGTAAAGTTAACATTTTGAAATGTTACTTGGAAAAAACTAAGTAAAATTAAAAATTCCTTAACAGAAAACAACTTTGATAAAAAGAAATTTTACTGATGAGAAAAGTACTTAAGTAAAAGTCATAAATCTGTTCACAAAAATTGGGAAAGTAAAAGTAAAAGTACTTTTTATAGTAATACTACTACTACTAATTTACTTAACTAAATTGGTTCCACTAAACCAAGTTGAGTAAATTAAGCGAAATACATATTTTCTTTTAAATATGGTATATTGCCACTCTACTAGGTGGAACCAGTTGAGATGTGTTGAGTAAATTCAACACTTCAATTTTTAAAGTGCATAAATAAATAATTATGATAATAGGTAGAGAAGAAAAAACTAACATTAAAAAGAAACAGGGTTTCTAGTGTGAACACTGGATCTGGATTCAAGCTTTCAATGTAACAAACAGGATCAAAAATCAGCGTCTGTAACGCCTGATGTGATATGAAGAGTTTGGTGGATTTTATGAGGAGTTTGGTTTAAATTTGCAGCAGCATTTGCTTCAAATTCTGTTTCAGAACAAGCAGCTCAACTACCATCACTGATGATCGTTTCTCCTAATTCCACAAGAAAGTAAAGCAGTTCTAACCATTTTCAAAGATTTAACATGACTGATGAAAAGGATATTCAATATACCTAAATTTAATTCACTTTGGTTCAGTTTTTTTTTTCAATTTACAGAACAAATAAAAAGAGTGAAAATAAAATCCTAAATATGAACATATGATAGTTTGGAAGCCACATATTGTTTATTTTTTAATAATTGATTTAAGTTACTTGACAGCTGCTGATTTCATTTGCATAAAGAACAATTTGATCTACAAAAAGCTGAAGTAATAGCAACTGAATTGATCATCTATATGTGCAGTACTTTTGATTGATTCTAAAAAGCTTTATGTTGTATAAACAGACATATTTTTGTTTCATTTCTAAAGCAATCCCTCCGAACAGAACAGTGAAGTCTGTTTAATGTAGGTGCCTGATTGATTGATTGATTGATTGATTGATTGATTGATTGATTGATTGATTGATTGATTGATTGATTGATTGATTGATTGATTGATTGATTTCATGTTGACTCCGCTCCCTACCTGTCATCATTCGGGAAGTTCTGGTCCCCGAGCAGCAGGTCCCTGAAGCGGAAGCGGGGCGGCAGCGGAGGCACCTCGCTCTCCAGCTGCTCCATCTTCAGAGCGGAGATGTCCAGTATGACTCCGCTGCTGCTGCTGCTGCTGTTAGTCTGAAGTGGTGCTGCAGAGGAACTGGAGGAGCGAGAGGAGAAAAGTAAAATGGCAGAAGGGGAAAGGAGGAAATATAAAAACAAAATGCTTCATATAAACAAAAAAAAAAGAAGGCTGCTGAAAGGACAGGAAGTGGTGAAAGAAGCACAAAGATGAAACAAGGGGAAGAAAAGAAACAGAGTGAAAATGTGAGCTTTTACTGGAACCGCCGGAAAAACAAGGTAATTGAAGCACACTGTCTAAAATTATATATTGTTTATCCAAAGAAACATTCAGTCAAATCATTATGAATGAATAGCAGAAATACATATTTGTGTCTGAAAGCTTTTATATGTAATCATTTAGGCAAATACAAAAGTTTTTTAAGCATGTGGTTGTTTATTGCACAGCTTCATTTTATTGTATTTTATGTACAAAATCATAAATTGCTTTGTAAACAGGTGCAGCAGACAAGCACATCTAATGCAGTGTGGATGATGTTATTTTTGATTCTAGGAAAAGCTAGATGTTAGGACAGAACAGGAGTTGATTAAAGTGACAAAGCGTTTCTAAGAGATTAATGGGTTACTCTCCATAAATCCTTAGATGCTGAGTAATAATCACATCCCCTCCTAAATTAACATAAGTGAAGTTCTTGTGGTTTGGTGTGAGGATAGGTGCTGCTTTCAGTCTCCTAGAAACACACGCTGTTCACAGAGCCATAACCTCTCTGCTATCCTCCTGCATTAGGCTCATCAGAGATGTTTTATAATTGATATATTTCCCTGTAGTTCTTTGTTCAATTAAACACACTCAGCTCACACAAGCTGTCAATGAACTTGACAAATGAGTTTAAGGCTGAGACTGGTCAAACACATCTTTGTACTTCCAAATTTTTTAGGATGAGATGTTAGGGAAAATTAAAAGCTGACATTCTAACAAATCAGGGCATGAAATTGTGCTTTGGTGTTAAAGAGAGCATGAATGACACTAATATTGTGGTCTGGACTTAGTCACAGGGAGACTATGATCAATAAAAGAGGACCTGCTGAAAAAAGTAAACAATGAAGCAGAAAAACATGATCCATACGATGTGTTGCACAATGGAACAAGACCTGAATCAGAATATGAAATGAATTTTTCAAGACCAGATGCGCTAAGCCAGACGTAATAACAAACCTCTGCCAAGAAATACAGCCTGTTTTTGATTTACACGCTCCATATTCCTTCCATTTCTGGTTAATAGATAAAAAAAAACCACGTTGATGTTTAGGGTCTTAGAAATTCTTTTGCATTCATCCCGTGACTCGTACTTTCCAACAATCTTTTCTCTGAGTTATTGTTTGGCTTTACTCCCCTCTTATTATCATGTTATTTTATTTTTTTTTTGTGCTTAGTTCTGTTCCTTTTTGCTCTCCTGTTCCACCTGTTTATTTCTTCACTGTTCCTCAGTTAGTTTTTATTCCACAGTCCTGACACGCCTACTTCACCTGTTCCTCCATACCCAGTCTCAGCTGCAGCCACCTCCCCTCATTAGTCACAGCCTTTTTTATTTACAGTATAACCTTTATTTTAACAGGTAAGCCAGTTGAGAACCAATTCTCATTTACAATGATGACCTGGTATTATTTATTTATTATTATTCCCTGTTTCTCACCAGTCAAGCATTGCTGTGCATCCATCCATGTCAGCCTTTTCGTTGTTTTTTGTTAGAATAAAGTTTTATTTAGAGCCACCTTGTGACACATGCATTTGAAACATTCAAAAGCAAGACAATGACTGGTGCACACACGTCATAAACACTGTAATCAACTCTTGTTGAAGTTGATGAATTGGAAAAATGCATAAAACACTACTTTTGCATGGCTTGAAAGGCAACTAAAATGCATATAATTAGGAGGTTTGATTTTTAAAATGTGCTGCTGCTATTCGAGCATTTGCGTTAAGAGTAGCTAAGGTTGAGCTCATATTAATGTGGTTTTAATGTGCAGTTTCACTAAGGCTGCATGTCAGCAGCTGAATAAACAGAAACAGATAAAATGCGAGAACAGCATGACATCATAATAACTAGAGTCCTCTTTTTTATTGTTTTTATTAAACAAATCAAAGCTAACTTTTTATTCTTCATCTAACTTTGTAAAACTACTTAAAATGAGGCTATAAGTCGTGTAGTCTCACCGCGGTCTGTGCTCACTCACGGTCCCATCGTCGTTCACAAACGTCTGGTTCACGTAGCACTCACTGCACATGATGTTGGCCGGAGATCCGGCGCCTCGGTCGGACTGGAGAGCAGCTGCGGTCGGCGTGGAGGAGGAGTCCTGAACAAGGTCGTCTTCCTGGGTTATTTGCATCTGAGGGCGACCTGCCAGACAGGAGTGGACTCCCGAAGAGAAGGATTTCAAATATTTACATACAAAAAAAAGTTCTTCCTCTCACCTATGCAGGTGCATAAGAGTTTCCTCTCTCAGCCTACGCAAGACTGCAGGCAAAGTGACAACTGTCTGATGATGAAGTCTTAGAGATGACTAATCAAGAGATGTAGGTGGGATCAGTGTGATGGGGGAGGCAGGAGAACGAGCCGACGGCCTCAGAGGCAGGGGGAATACTGAAGAAGATGAAGAGGACAGGTCTGGACCAGCTTCTGTCCTCTCTGAGCGCACAAAGATGCGCGTTAGTCCACACAAGTGTGATGAGCGCCATCTGGTGGAAGCTTTGGGTACTTACAACTCAAACGATGAGATAAGTTGATAATTATCTTCAAAAAGTTATGATTTATTGCATCAGGTTGATGTAGACGAAAAATAGACGAAAAATATTTTAATCTTACAGTGACTTTAAGACGTTTAAGGGCTCACTTTTTACTGTCTGGGTACAAAAGGAAGAAAGAAAAATAGCAAACTCATTATTTATGACCAGACTGTGTTCTTTGTACCTTCCACACAAAAACTGAACAAAAAAAGGCTTTTGAGACCACCACCTGAAACTTGTCTTTGCATTTATTGAGCTGCTCTTTTGTAACTCTTTATTACAAAGATGTTTCAAACAGGAGTGGACCCCCCAAAGAGAAAGATTTAAAATATTTACATACAAAAACAAAAGTTATTTCTTTCACCTATGCAGGTGCATTCTGAAAGAGTTTCCTCTCTCACTCTATGCAGATTGAAGCTGCAGGCAAAGTGACAACTGTCACTGATTTGACTGTATTAATGAGATGTAGCACTGTTGAAAGAGTCCTCCTCTTCTTGTTCAGTGGCTCAGCCTCACATCCTGTGCAGATGGAGCACAACAGGTAAAGAAAAAAACATTTTATAATCACTGATGTGTTGATCTGGACTGTGTTGTACTGTTTTATAATGATTTAAATCACTAAATTAGATGCGGTTACAGTTTACTTATACCTGAGGGGTGTAACAGGGCAAGTTTGATGGTTTTGTCAAAGTGAGCTGAAAGTCCGATAGATCCCTCAGATGCAACTTTATTGGTGGTTTGGTGATGAAACACCCCTTTATATGTGAGTGAGCACAGAGACCAAATCAGGGAGTCTGAGTTAAAGTACCAATCAAAACTGTTGTAGCACCAGTTTTAGGCTTCATCAAGTCTAAGAAAATAAAGGCCTGAACAAGTCAATCCATCCTTTTTCTTGACCTTATTATTTTAGGTCTTAAAATGCTTGTTCTGTTTTTATAAGAAAATCGCCGAACAAAACCAGTCAGAGCATCCAGAGCTGCAACTTTCTCTCTCCTGCTCTTATAGATCCATTTCATCCAGTTCTTGTTTTGAAACTTTGTGGATGAGAAGAGATGAAGTTTCTTAAAAGTGTTACAGCGGTGTCCACAAAAATACAAAGGAAATGTTTCCACTTCAGAAATGGCAACCGTTTACAGATCCAGACAGTGTTCTCATTTGAGACTGTGTGTGTCTTTGATTTGCGGCAGGATTAAAACTTACAGCCACTCTACCACACGGAGGATGGAGACGTGTTTAATTCCACAGCGGTCGGGATGAAGAGTGTCCTCATTGCTCCAGTCACTGGGATCCCTGCAGCTTTGATTCTTTAAACTGCTGCAGCCAAGTGAGTAGAAAACAAACAACCGTAATGTTTTCTTATGTCTTTACATGAGTGCATTCTGTTATATTGTGTTTGTGTCTAATCTAATGGTGATTGACTGCAGGTGGTCAACTGCAGGGCTCCTGGAGGTGTTGATGCTGAGACTAGCGACTTCAAATAATATTGTGATGTTTGACAGAAGCATTGATGCAAATTGTTTTGTTTTTAACACTCACTATAGATGTTTTAAACATTTTCAGATCATAGATTGCATCTGATCTGATTTCTGGAACTTTGTCTAACACTCAAAGTGGAAACATAGGCAAACAATGCAACATCAGGGAATTAAAAAGGATTTTACAGGTGAGTTATTGATGATTTTCGTACATGCAGCATTCCTATACAGTATTTGAATTCCAGGAGCTTTTTCAGTGATGTTTCGCTGGTGTAAACACCGACTGAGCCTTTCAGGGATGCTCACTTTATACCTAATTATGACACTCACGTGTTTCCAGTCGACTGTTCACCAGTGGAATGCTCCAAACAACTGTTTTATGAGCATTCCTCAACTTTGCCCAGCCTTTCTGTGCCCCTGTTCCAGATTTTTTGGAAAGTGCACACAGTGACTGCTGGGCACCAGTGACCTCCGTGACCCTGAAAGGAAGAAGCAGGTAAAATATAATGAATAAATAGATAGGTGTTACTGCTAACATACACAGCTCTCAACAACCAAGTTGCATCAACATTCAAGGTCATATCATTTCCTATTTTTCTTTTGGAGCACTCCACTGTCAGACCGCAGATTTATTGTGATTTCTGGAATCTTGGGATTTATTTATATGCTCTTGTTGTCGGTAACTTTCTTCTTTCATTTAAAATGCCTAGTCTAATGCTTCTGTATGTGTTTGTTTTTTTATGCTTGTGTTTTGCCCATCCTGACCGTGGTTCTGCTGGAGAGTTTTTTTTTTCCTGTTAAAGGGTCTTGTTTCTTTACACTGTCTCCCACTGACTCACACTTGCTTAGAATGAAAGAATGAATCAAACTGAAGGAGCACTGGAACCTTTTAGACAACATTTTACTTCATAATTACAGTTTTCAGATTCTGACTGTAATTAACTATATCAAGTTGTTCTGAATAGGAATGAGCTTTGAACATTATAGCCTACACTGGAATTAAAACTTACTAATTTTGTCAATTTTGTTTTGTTGCTAACAGTTTTTCTTTTACGTAATTTAGTTTATTTAAATTATTTTTCTTCCCCCTTTTGTGTCAGAACAGCCCGATCACTCACAATTTTAATTTCCCTCTTGTCTCTTGTTATGTTGACCTCTTGTATAGGTCCCAAAACTACAGTAATTAAGATTTTTTTGTAAATTACAAAAACGTTTATTTGTAAAGCTTCTGTGTCTCTCCTGCTGACTTATTTGGACGCTGACAGGGTGTAAAATAATGAATGGGGGTCCAACTAAAACTATCTATATTTCAGACATTATACCTGCACACGACTGGTGATGATGATAATGATGATGATGATGATGATGATGATGACAGGCTGACTCTTCATTAAAGCAAAATTCAACCTTTTCTCCATGATCATGAGAAAATCCAGCTTGTGTTTTCAGACAAAGTGAAAAAAAAAATACAAAGCAAGATGTTCTGACTTTGTATACAAGCTTGGGTTTTCAAACAAAATTAGTAAAATATTCATCTCTGTGTTGAAACGTATTCTGTCAGTGCACTAATGCAGAAAGAGAAATGGAAAATCAAATACCAAAGGAACAGACTGACTGGATGTTTTTATAACCTTGTTTTTTTTTCTTCTTATATTTCTTTCTTTCTGATGACGCATCAGGAGAAGACGTGGGAGAGGTGGTCTATGAATCACAGGCAAGATGGTGACGTGAGGTCATCAAAAGAGTTTCAAGCTCATGATGGACGTTTGTGATTGAGTCAGTGTTAATGGGAGAGAAGCTTTTTTATCTATAAAAGGAAAAAAAATACATCTGTGATATTCCACCTGGAGGAACGTGTAAATGATTAATGCTGAAAATGAATATGCAAATGCTTTTTCACATTTATGCAGAAAGTAAGTCCAGTATAAAGAATGTGGAAATAATCAGACAGAGCAGCATAATTAAAATCCAAATATAATTGCAGGATTTAGCTAATAATGTGATAGAGGAGGACACAAAGCATCTTTGTCATGCTCAGGAAGGAAGGTTTCCATGTTGCTAAATTCAGTGTGATGACCTTTTGACCTCTGACATCACTGCCTCCATCTGGTGTCTGCAGCCACTCACCTGACCCCTCATCTACATGTCATTCTCAAGCTCGGGAATCTAAATTTGAAAATCAAAAGAAGGCTCAAAACATCAAAACATTCATTGCTGAGAAACCTGCAAAGGCTGATTTGCTATTGCTCACTTAATAGAAAATCTTGGACATTTAACAGTGCAATTTGACATTTTCTAACCTCATGCTTTTTAAAGTTTAGCTTAAATTCTAGTTTACAAACCTTAAAGTGCAATTTAAAAAAAAAATGCATTTCAGTGGTGGTTCCCAAACATTGAGGCAGCAGATCTCTCTTAAAAATAGAAAAAAATCATCCACAAAGACCTGACACAGGGCCTGGTTATCATCCTTCAGTGCATCATGTAATATATGAAAGGTTTTCAGCCAACAACTTTTTTGAATCACCTTGTGGTAGAAAAAAATATCTGTCGAACAGTGTTATCCTTGGTATTTTTTTGCGAATACATTTCGTAAAAATGGGGGAAAAAAGTGTGTCTTTGAGACAAACGGTCAGTAGCAAAGTGCGTGAATGACTTATGATTCACAGGCACAAAAAAAGACATCAAAGGATAAAACAGTTTTGTGTTTACACAAATGAAATTTGCAGCAAAAGGTCTAACCCCTAAAATTATTTATATCTACCCTCATGTACAAAAGAAAAAAAAAAAGAAAAAACTAAGGCCACACTGTGATTCAGCAGCTTTTAGGACCATAGCAGCCAATTTCTGTAGAACTATATCGATCTCTGACAGGATTTTACAGGAATTTTGCCCACTTTTCTTTGCAACAATGCTTCAGTTTATTAAGATTTGTAAACAGCCGTAAAACAAAAATGGAACAGCTCAAGGCTTTTCCAGAGAAGGTGAAATCAGTTTGAACAACTTCTGTGTATTTTTTTTTATCTGAATTAGGCACCAGCTTTGAATAGTGATTACAAGATAATTGGAAAATTTCAACAAATATATTCATGTTGGTGGAATAATAATAAAAACCCTTACTGATACCGATTTAGTTACAAAATGTAGCTCAATGATTTATTGCTCAGAAATGCACTGTACTGAGTTGTCATTGAGTGTTTTTAGCACTGTTCATGTTGTTAGATACTTCTAATATTTATAAGTGAGTAATTTAACAATATTTCACAGTTTATCTTAGATGATAGACTTTCTTAGAGATTTAAATTTATTTAGAATTTCCAAAATATTATTTACACCTTTAACTTTTCTTTTAATGGTTCTTTTATTTTGTTCAGCAAAGTAGAAAAGGTCAATGAAAACAATATAGCCGTGAAACTAATTATTTGTCACATATTTATTAAAAAAAATTCCAACAAATTATTATTGACACGAAGATAAAGAAATCAGTGTTGCAGGTTTATTCAAGTTTAAGCAGGAAAAAATAGAGAAGTGAATTTGTGTGGTGTCTGCATGAAAAACAGGTGAAAAAAACACACATTTGGAAGCTTAATAATTGCTTAAATACTCTAAACTGAAAAACTCTTTTAACATATCAGTATAGACTCTGTTGAACTGTAGTGAATCAATGTGAAAATAACTATATTTGTGGCACAGCGACTGATGGGTTTGTGTGGGATTTCAACAGCAATCCATTTTCAAGGAATATGTCTGTTTTTTGAGAACTAAAACAAGTTTTTTTTTTTCATTTTAGTAAAGCTCCAGATGCACACATCCTACATCTCACCCAGCAAACCTTCAAAAAATGGTTTTATTAGAAACATTCTTCTAACTACTTCTAAACTCAGTGAATAATCACTACATAACCTAGATTTTTACCTAGTAATCAAGCAATAATTAGCTTCCTGTAGGTTCTTAGTTGGCTCCTTCTGTGCCGACTGAGGCCACAGCTGTGACGTAGTAAGGTCCTTCTCTGAGGTAAGTCTTCAGGCGGATGTAATTTTGACTGCCCAGTATTTCTGCAGCTGTGGATGAACCCACAAGAGACCCAATCAGTTCAAACTTGGCATCTTTGGCCTCCTTTGTTTGGCCTGTTGAACGATCCAAAACAAACTCCATAAATCCAGGGGTGACCATCATCATCCTCTGACCCCATGGTTGACTGGCAATGGCCTAAAAAAAGGATTATCATCACTTAATAGGTTGATAATAACAATAAAATGCTGGCGGTTTCAAAACAGCACTTACAGTGAGGATCTGTAAAGCCCCGCAGTGAAGCTCTGGAAAAGGCTGTGTGCTAATGCTGCGAATCATATCCATGGGCTTGTTAGATAAAAGCTGAAACCAGGACTCTGTCAAGGACAAAAGGTCTTCTGTTTGATGCTCTGGCTGCAAAGAAAAGATAAAAAAAATCATCAAGGGGTCATATTTTTCAGGTATAATAAATCAAAGATGGCCATAAATACCTGTAAGGTCAGAAGTTGTGATATGGCATCCAAGCAGCGAACTCGAAGCTCAGTAGCTCCAGAACCGGCAAGATGGCTCATTCTTGAAAACACAGTCCGGAACTCTTCTCCTGATTACAGAAAACAATTTGCATTTAATATTCAGAGATGACTATGTAACACATTTTGATAATCTTATAAAATGACTTAAGTGGCACAACAGAGCCCCTTTGAATTAATTGGGTTTGATTTAAAAAAAACACACAGACACAAACAAATCAGCAAAATATTTAAGATTATAAAAAACAGGTTATTCTTTTGCAAAAGAAACTTTGTCACTAACTTATACAGAAGCTTGGAACAATATGTTGATTTTTATCCAAACTAAAAAGTTTAATAAAATTGACTGGTTACGCAAGCTCTCTTGAATTTATCCAACACGCTGCTTTAGGACTAATTTGTTCATACAACTGGCTTTTTGTGCAGGACTAGTGGGTCATACTGTATCATTAAAAGATATCAAACTTGCCTGTTTTCTGCAGAACCTGCTTCCCTTCGACTGTTGATCCGAGCAATCCCAAAGTGTCCAGGGCCACTCCGGTCATCGCAGGGTCCGGATCGAGGGCCATCTCAAACACCTTGGTCAGGAAGGTTGGGTAGGCTTCACAGACCTGCTGTGGGCTGTCCATGACGGCCAGGTTCCCAAAGAACTTCACCAAACCTAAACCAGCAATATCCACACTGTTAGGGACCAACCAAATCGTTTGTACTTCTACGTTCTTTTAAATCAAATTATGTGTTCGGCTTTGGCTCCACGTTCTGTTACAACAGGACTGAATCAAGTTTTTCTATCGTCTTCAAAAATAAAATAAAATAAATAAAAATTTAAATTTAGCTCATTTGAATAAACAAAAACTGCCTCCAGTTTTTGATTGAATTTGGAGTCTAAAAAAAAAACACTTACCAGGAAGGTAGAGTGAGGAGAAGGGGTCTGTCTCTGCTCCTCTGATCATGTTGGAGATCTTATCCATGATACCCTGCTGAGCTAAATACTGACGACCATGCTGACTGTGAGCAAGAGTGGTCACCATCTCTACAGCCGTGGCCCTGATAATAAACAAATATATAAATAATAATAATAGAAGTATGAGAAAAAAAAAAGTAAGACCGTGAGAATATAAAATGATGTCAGACAAAAGATAAACACTTCCTTGACATAATGTCCTCACCTAATTAACACATCATCTCCTGTCAGTTCACTGAGCAGCTGGGAGATGAGGCCACTGTTGGCACAGTAACCGAGAGAAATTGGAGAAACAGATGCGATTTCCACCACCAGCTGCAAGGCAAAGGAAAACGAGCATAACTTCTCTTTTTTAGTAGTGCAACTTGGATGGCCACAGCAAATGCATTAAACAGAAATTTAAATAATCTTCTTATTAATTAAACAGAACATTACACTCATAAAGACAAACCCAAAATACTCCAGAATAAGTTCTTTTTTCTTGTATCTGTAAAACTGTGCAGCAATTTGATGTACCTCATATATTCTGTATCTGATAGTGTCACTTGTTGCCATCACATCCTTCACAACATGCAGGAGGTCACTCTTGAATAATTTGTCTAAGCCAGGCTTGGAGTGACTTATCTTAGAGAGGGAATGAATCGCCTACAAAAGAAATTAAAAAGTTATTGTACACGCTGTAGATCTATTATTAACGCCTATCTGTGCTTCAGTTATCACCTGTTTGGCCACAGACATCTTTTCCTCCCTGATGCAGAGGATCATCGCTTGTAAGATATCATGATCGTTGAGAATTTCTGTAACAGCTTCCGGGTGCTCCACCACTCTCCCGATCTGAAAAATAAAGAAATGAAACAGGGTGACGTGTTTCTGGCCGTTTCTGCTTTGCGTGTCAACAAACTTCCTACCTGTGTCAAGGCCAGAATCTTAACGGTTTCATTCGGATGCGTCAAACCGCCCTGCAGCTCGGCTCTATAGTTCTGGACCACATGGACAGGGCTGAGAGCAAACAGGACGCGTTCAAGAATGTCCACACACAGCTCAACCTGCTCTCTGCAAGAACAAAGCTCACGTTACATAAGCAGCTCTGCAGCTTTCAACATTTATTTTACAGCTGCAATTTAAGCTGACATGTTCAAACTATCTAATACTCTCTTTTTACATAACAAATCTGGCTTCAAAAAACTCTGGTGTTTGTGCATTATTCCATTTTGCAAAGACATCTTAAAGCTACTACTAGTACTGTTATTGTGATAATTATCATTATATTTATAAAACTTACTATTGTACAGAAAGGAAAGTCTCCAGGATGAGAAAAACAACCATTATTACCCAAATACAAACATAAACACTTATAGACAGCTTAAAAAATAAATGTTTAGTTGATTACAAATACGGTTTCAATTTTAAAACCACGAGAACAGGGCTGAATCTAACAATAGCCACTTAGCTAGCACGCTAACAACTAGCATAGGTTAATTTACACTTTTAGCATAGCTCGATAACGTTGCCTAATTGTACCTACCCCCAGTTCGTGTAGGAGTTTATAACAAAACTAAAACACATCGTCTGATTCAGCGGTTTTCACGCAGCAGTTTCTGAGTTGGACCTGAGAACCAACCTGTCATTTGAGGCCAGCAGAGAGAAAACCACATCCAAACGCTGCCCGCTCACAGACTCTCTCAAAGCACTGGCGGGAATTGCCAACAGAGCTGTTTTTAAGCTCTGGAGCTCTTCAATTGGGTCTTCTACACCCGAGATTTCCTCCAGTAAACTCTGAATGGTAGCTGCCATGACTTGTTTTTTAAAAACTTCTTCCTGTTCCCTCTTCTTCTTTTTTTGTTTTTAACATTCGCATTAAGGCAGATGAGACTTTACCGCCATCTGCTGGTCATAGTGGGAGGAGCCAGCTCTTCTAAATTCCCTGGCTTTGCTCAGATCTTTGTAAAAAGCTTCACATTTTGTGTCTTCCGTTTTCCTCCAAAAAAGCTTTTATAATATCGTTATCTATTTTATTTTGAAGTAAAATTATAAACTCAACTTAATGTTCTACTGTAACAGGTATCTGCAACCTTTACAACTGAAGAGACATTTTTATCATCTCTTACTAAATAAAATTTGTGAAGAGCCACACAGTTTACTTGATTGTTTGAAAGAAGATTACTCCAGATTTCTTTGGATGCATTTCTCTGTAATTTGGCAGACAGAATTTTATCTTAATACATTTTCCTAATTACTAGACACTTTTTTTATTTTTATGTCTATACAGACATACCTGACATGTTTCGACGAAATGCAAATTTCAGTCTGGCCTTCTGATTCCTATTGCCGATGAGTGGTTTGCATCTTTGTGTAAGGCCTCTATATTTCTGCTCTCTGTGTATTCTTCAAACAATAGATTGTGAAACCTTCACCCCTGCACTATGGAGGTCATAAACAACTGTTGTTTTCCCTGGCTGGCCTGTTGGATGTCTCTTGCTCAGTACACCAGTAGTTTCTTTCTTATTCAGGACATTTCAAATAGTTTTGCTCTCTATGCCCAATGTTTTTCAATGGCTTTGATTGATTTTCCTTTTTTTCAGCTTCAAAAAGACTTGCTTTTCTCCAATAGACAGCTTCCTTGGTCCACTTTATAGTTTAAACCCAGGCCAAAAAGTAGACTAGTCATGCAGATTATGTTTGAACTGTCAACTTCAACGGCAACACCTGGTTCACATGTTCCATGATTTTTGCTCACCTAAATATGTTGTGATGTGTTACAAAAGGTGATATAGCCCAAGTGGTTTAACACATCTACATGTAAATATTAGAAAATAAAAGCTGATGTTCTGAACTTTTATCTCATGTTCATCTTTTGATCTAAAATTCAAAATGTCTTCAGAGTACAACAAAAAAAGGGAATTAGACTTTCTGTTCCAATACTTATGGAGAGAACTGTTTATTCTACTTTGTCAAAAAATAAGTTGAAAAACTCTGAATTTGTGTTTATTGAGGTCCTCGGGCTAAACGAGTGTCACAGAATCTTCAAATCATTTTGTCTCTCAAAGATCTCACAGTTGACAATAAGACAAGCATTATGACTTTTTCAGTCATTGTAATAATATTAGAGACTGTTCAGAGGCATATGTCCTGCTACATGGTTCATCAGCACTAAGTGATCATAAAATCAAGAACAGATGATGTAGTTAAAATAAATACTTCATGCAGTTCCATTTCTTTTTATTTGAATCTGTGGATAAAGTATAAATGTCAGATAAGTATGCTATAATAAAATAAACACCTTTATGAGCATTTTGAATTCTTTGGGTCATTTATACTGACATACTGGGAAATGTCTCAGTAAGGTCAAATATAATAATAATAATAATAATAATAATAATAATAATAATAATAATAATAATAAGGACTGACAGGTAATCATTTTCATTGTCTTGATTCAGCTGCCCTTCATTAAAGTTGTATGCATAATGCAGGATACACTCCTCTAAGCGAGCGCCTGACTTGGGGACGGGGTGCAGAGTTACACGCTCTTCAAGTTTCACAGAAATGGAAACCCTGCGTCTGAGAGCCCTGATGCAGCAGCAGGTCTACTCATCACCTGGGGTTTATGAAAACAGATGAACAAAACAACAGCTGTTATGCAGGTACAGAGCGGTTTTTAGGTTTGACTCATAATTTTTGTAATTGTTTAATCGTCTATCTTCGTTGGAACTCGTGCTCTTTTTATCTTTTCGAAAATGATCTTCCGGTGCTTCTTGTGCAAGCTGCGCACTCACCAGTGGTGCTTCCTCCTCTTCAATGTGTTGCTCTTCCACGCCTTGTTGTTTGGGGCAGATTTCGTTGAAGAGTACCTCCTGCAGCCCACACCTGTGGTTTACACTGACGGCGCGGTGGTCAGGGTGAGAGAGAAAGCGAGAAAACTAGACCTGAGCGCTGCAAAGGAGAACGTGTCCAAGGCCTACCATATTTCCAACGCCGAAGCCTGCCGAAACTCCGACATCTTCCTTCTGACTCTGGTCTTCAGCTCTGCAGCTAATCTCACCCAAAGAGAGGTGATCAGAAAGACGTGGGCCAATTCGGTAGTGATTCAAGGCTTTCCAGTAAAGACGCTGTTCTTTTTGGGACCGACTCAGACCTCTGATGCACAAGAGGACATCATGAGAGAGTCTGAACATTATGGAGACATAATCCAAGCTGATAAATCAACCCTTCAAGACCCAAAAGAAAGAACAGTATTGGCTCTTCGTTGGGTTATTGCCTTTTGTCCTCTTTCACGCTTTATTCTTCTGACCAAAGAGTCTGTGTTTGTCAACCTACCTGCCATTGGGAGTTACCTGCTCGGGCTGCACCGGCACCCTGAAGATCTCTATTTGGGTAGAGTGATCCAGAAAGACTCCCCTGACAGGAACCCCAACAGCCCTGGCTTCCTGCCCCCCACTCTCTATCCAAACAAGTTCCTGCCCGAGTACTGTGATGGAACCGCTTACGTTCTGTCCCAGGACGTGGTCCGAAAAGTGTATGTGGCATCGGCAGCAGTCCCGGGGCCCGTGCCCATCGATGCTTTCGTTGGTCTCTGCGCTCAGAAATCAGGTGTTGCACCGACGCACAGTGCCAGGTTCTCTGGAGAGAAACACGTCTACTACAACGCCTGCTGCTACCGTTATCTGTTCAGCTCCGCAGGAATGGGGAGCCATGAATTAGAAAAAGTGTGGAAAGATCTGGAACAGAAAGGTGGACAATGCTCTCTGCTGAAGACATATTATGGTCTGGTGAACTGCAAGGTTCACACATATTTGGACAAGTTGGGTCTATTCAATTAATGTTAGGGGGATTGTACTGTTAGAATTGAGGAGTAAATGTATTTTGTATGTAATTTTTGTTTGTTCATGTTTGTCTTGAAGCAAAATGATAAAATTTGAAATAAGCTGCCATGCAAATTCAAATTAAGGTGGCAGGAGGAGTTCTTTTTAACATTTTGTCTCATTTGATGCCAATTTAAACAACTCCGATGAATTTCTTTGTAAGCATGTGAAGTTTTAATGTTTGCAAACTTTGCAAAATTTCAAACTATTTATTTTTGCTCTGACTGTATATAAAAACCATAAAACACAGTTTGTTGTAGTTTTTTTCCTTCTATAAACAAATATGATGGATCAGTTCAGAACCAGTGGATGTGGCCAGACAGGTCGTCTCAGTAAATCTTCTGCGCCGAGGCAGACATCCAGTGGTCGGTCGGAGGTATAACAAAATATTATTAGAATAACCAGGAAAACTCCCTGAGTACATTTGTAATTTTAGAGTACATTTTATTTAATCTGAAAGCATCAGAGACTGTAAAAGTCGTAATTTTTTTTTATGATAACCACATAAGTTATTTCAGTTTTAGAGTGCCGTTTGAGTTTTTATTGTCAAATAGTTTTATGAAATCACATCTATTTTTTTAATCTTGTAAATGTTGTTCAGACTTTTCTTTTTCTTTTTTTTAATTCCACAAAACTAAGACTTGGCCAGCACCATGAGCTGACCAAACAAAATGTTTGGATGTTCTACTGTACTATGTGCTTCCTGCAGTGGTTTACACTGAAACACTTGAATGCACCTTGGAAACGTTCCACTGTGTCTGCTCAACTTTTCCAAAATTGTCTGTCTCGCTTTTTTTTCTCACAGTAGCTTTTTGACATCAAATAAAAAGTAAAATGAAAAGTCCATTCCAAATAAATTTTAGTAGCTAAATAGATCAAAACTTTTACTTGTGTTGTTAACAGCATTATTTTAGTCAGGGTGGTAATTTATGGCAAAATCTATTCATTTATGTGTCCAATATTTGTACCCAACAGAGGTGTATAAAGTACTTAAATGAAATAAAGTAAAATAACAGAAAATGACTTTGGTAAAAAAATTTGTTTTACTGATAAGAAAAATTCTTACGGTAAGTAAAAATCAACAATCAGATAAGTAAAAGTTAATGTACTTTTACATACACTCTAAGAAATGAAGTGTAGAATTTACTTAACCAAAATGATTCTACTTAGCCAAGTTTAGTGAAGAACCAGTTAACATAACTTGGTAAATTCAACACTTTACTTTTTTAGGGTGCGTAGTCAACTCTTTTCATGATGAGTTCAGGTCACATTTAAATTTGTAATGAGTAATGAGGTGTTAAATATTTAAGTAAAGAAGTAAAAGTATCATTTTTATGTTTTACTGTACTGAAATAATTGTTACAATTATGAAAAAAAATACTCAGTAAAACGACAAATCCTCAAAAAATGACTTAAGTACTGAAATGAAGTAAATGCATTTAGATACACCTCTGGAACTGCTGCTGATATGGCTTTAGCATCTAACAAACTTTTACACTTTGAGGGAAAGGCATTGCTTTGTGGAAAAACACTTAAAAAGCAAACAAACACAAGAACAAGAAGGCTCAGTCAACTTTTTTCAGACTACTGTGGTATTTCAAATGTATTTAAAATACATGTGCGAGCGCAGTTATCCTTCATCCAGTCCTGGCTCAGGTTGTTGTTGAAGTTTGGTAAAAGTTTCCTAATGAACATTGGAAACAAGGTCAGGGTTAGAGGAGNCACACACACACACACACTCTTAACCATAAGCAAACCTGAGCACAGGCAAACACAGTTACACCAAAGACATTGGCCAGGCTGTGGAGATTGTTAATGTGAGGTTGAGGGGGTCGGTAAAGTGCTCGTGGGTGGTGTGCTCTAATGAATAGCTCTCCACAGAGAAAAGCATCTCTGAAGGGAGGGACTCATCAAACCAGAGAAGACTGTTTTATTTAGAGAGTTTAGACTGAAGAGGGGAAAAAAAAGCCTCAGCTCCACAGACATGGCTGATGACTGAAGGGGATGATCAGTGGGAATTAATGTCACAGCTTATGAAAAAAAATGATTGTTAATCTTGCGTTTTTATTGACCAGTGTACGCTTCGACTTTTTGTTGTAAGGTTTATGTTCCGATCTGAGGGTCAGTGTTCATGCGGCCCTCCAGCCCACATTCGTTTACGTACAAGCTGTAACCTCAAGCATAAACCCTCTTTTTTTGACGACAACTGCGGTCTCTTTTCCTTTCCCTTTTTGTACACTCCATAATCCATGATTTGAGGTTTTGGTAACTTTCCCTAAGCCAGACATTTGTGCTTTTCTGCAGCTGCTTTTGACTTCTTGTGTTTTAATTATGGATTCTATAGGGTTTTTTTCCTCTCCCAGAAAAAGACATCCATCTGGTGAAAATTATGTATATTAAACTTGAAAGACTTTATTACATCACCCCAGCTGAATACATTCATGTTTTAAAACAACTTTATGAAAAATAGAAAAGAGTTGCATTTTAGTAAGTTTACTCACCTTCTTGCATCTTACCCTGATGAAACACAAATATGCAACAGAAGAAAATTCTGACCCACTTAGCCAGATACATCTTTTAATCTGTGATGCATCACGTTTTACACATACACACATTAAGTGCTGTATGAATGTAAAATGAACATGTTCCTAAACTGAACAGTAACTTCTCAGCTTATAAGCATTAAAACATCTCACACGGGAAGCAAGATAACAGTCATAATGTTATACAGCAGCATTGTAGCAAACTCTGTCATTTGTTTAACCATCAAACTGAGGATTAAGTCAAATTTGGTCAAAATGACCTAAACCCATCTTCAGACTCTTGGCTTTTTAAGGAGTTCTAGAGATACAGTATACCTTGCTTTGTTCTCCTAATTAGGATAACTCGTTGATATTTCTATTTTTAGGTTACTCTAATGAAAAATGTTTGAGGTCATTTTAAAGAGGAAACATCAAACAATTTTTGGATATTGAGATTTCTCAAATAAAAGGAAAAAAAAGCTTTGCTAGTCCATGGGGAAGAGGACAAAATTTCAGTCTTTTCTTCTCAAAACCATGTTTTCTTTTCTTTCTTTCCCCCTTTTTTTTGTAGCTAGATAAGGTATTATTCATTATATTTGGACAAAATGCAATTGTTGCAAATATTTTATGTTACTAGTAGCATATTTCTCTACATGTGACAATGAGACTTAATCCTTGGTTTAATGTGATGGATCACATATGAATTCATATAAACAAAGCATTGCTGATTGTGTTTATTTTTACATTAATTTTCCTGCTTTTATGAACAGAAAGCGTCAAACATATTCACATTCATTTCTTAAATAGAAGTATAGATACCACGGTTTTAAAATACTTTTTTTTTTTAAATAATTATCAACTCAAGGTTTTTCCTTAAGTAAAAGTACTGGTTTTAAAACTTTTTAAAGTATAAAAGTGAAAATAATGTGAGAGAAAAAAAATCTGCTAAGGTTAAAAACGTAGACTGCACAACAGGGACCTATTCACAACCCAGCCTCCCCAAAAACCTGTTTCTAAAGGCAACAATGACCACAATACATAATAAGATATTAACCTGTTTCAGTCACACACAAATATGTAAATGGTAAATGGACTGAACTAATACAGAGTCTTATCAAGTCCGCATGGACCCCAAAGCACTTTACACTTACAGTCATGCACCCATTCACACACTGATGGTGGTAAGCTACATTGTAGCCACAGCTGCCCTGGGGTATGGCGCACTGACGGAGGCGGGGCTGCCATGCACCGGTGCCACTGGACCCTCTGACCACCATCAGCAGGCAAGGCGGGTGAAGTGTCTTTCCCAAGAACATAACGACTGAGACAGCTGGAATTGGGGATCGAATCAGCAACCTACCAGTTACGGGACAACTCCCCTAACCACTGCGCCACAGCCGATGATTTTACAGTGTACAGATTGCAGGCTCCATTATGATAAATGATCACTAAAACCGATAGTTACACAATAACATGTTTTGTTTTATGTACCCTGGATTTAACTTGGTTCCCACCACAGAGGGTGGCAAAGTGTCTGTTTGAACCAGTGTTAACATGTTAATGAAGTCTTATATGAGTTTCCCTGTGGCAGAACTTGACATTAAAGTAGCAGACCTGAAGCTTCAGAGCCAGAATTACAGCTTAATTAAAAATGCAATCTGTCTTTTTTGCATTTTAGGGCACGGACATGATGTATTCCTTTTTCTCATAGTCGTACTTTAAATCCATCAGTTCAGACGACAAAATTGAGGCTCTTCTCTGGCTGTAATGAGCTGGGCCTGTCAGAGTCCTGACTGATGTATCAAAGAGTTCCTCAGTCACTCCTGTCAGAAGAAGCACTGGGTGGAGACTCTGCCCTCTTTGGAGCGTATCATATCTCATGTTATTAGAGGCTTTGACTGAATTTGTTGACGGGCTCTGGGTAGGCAGTGCGGAATCTCTCCCCACTTTGTTTCAGTTGTGCATGATGCCAGATGATGAAGACATCTGCTAATGCTCAAACGCTCCACTGTTTTGCAAGTTCAAGGGAGTTTGTTTTACTTTGCATCAACATGATATATTAGCAGCTTAACATGTGTATAAAATGATCCTCAAAATGTGGCCGTTGTGCTATGCTTTTTATAGAACTGCCATGATATCACGTTGTGAAGGGTGGGACTCACCTTACAGCAGGAAGGCTTTTGGTTTGAGTCTGCACGGTGGCTGGGACATTTTTGTGTAGAGATTGCCTGTTCCATTAGAAATCAAAACCACTAACCAAAAATTTAAACATTACATAAAAGTCACATTATAATACTAAAGTAAAATAAAAAATGAAAATATTTAGGCGAATCACCTCAAACCATATATCCAGCAGAAGAAAAGATTATTTAAGGCCAGTGTAGAAAGATGTGTATAAAAATGTGCTCCTTCAACTCCAAATTTTGTTAGAAAGAAAGATAATCCATACCATCTATTGGACTATTGTGCTTAGTGTGTCAGTATTTGTGTTTTTGTACTTTAGGGCTGAGGTCTTCAACCCTTTTCCGTGTGACCCACTGTCCTGCAGGTTTCGCTGTTTTCCTGCTTTAGCACACCTACAGAAATTC